CATAGAAAAGAACTGAATTCTGCCAAGAACTTGGAATCGAATGCTTCCTCATTTGAGGCTTAGATGAGACTCCAGCCCTGGCTGACACCTCCACTGAAATCCGGCAGATGCCTCGGCTAAGCTATGCCTGGCTCCTGACCCACAGAAACTGTGAGATAACAAATGTGTTGTTTTAAGTCACTAAGTTAGCAGCAATGGTGTTATGTGACAACAGATAACAATCCTTATGAAACCTGACAAAAATAAAAATTTATTTTTCTATTATCTGTCTTCTCAATAAATTTATAAAAACTAGAGATTTATTTTAAGACTATGACAAGAGCATTTGTGAGATGGGTGACTAGCAGAAATTTTCCTCAAGAGACTCACATTATAATTACCTACCAGAGGCATTTCATTACGTTATTGAAGGGAGGTACAGTTCCACCTGGTCAAGTGCACACTGCCTTTTAGAAAGCAAATATAAACAGAAGAAAGGAGAAAGCTCTTCAGTGATTGCCTTTTTTTACTACTCCCATCACCAGCATCACTACCCCTAAAACACTAGGTATAGTCCACACCCAAAAACCCTTACAAGTGACTTTAGTGACTTTTATAAGACACACAAGCAACAGATGTCTGAACATAAATGGAATAAAATGTTATATTATATCTTAATTAAGAAACTGCATTTATAACAGTGTTTGCAATGTTTGTCAATACTCTCAATTATTTCATCTCATTTACTCGATTATATCTCACTCATAACTTACTCGGAGAAAAGAAACAAACAACTTATTGGCCCAGACTTACAAATTTAAAATACAAGCTACTTTGCTAGTGAAAAAAGTGTTCCAAACATTTCAGTCACAGCTTTCACTATTATACCACATTGTGAACACACACACACACACACACACACACACACACACACACACACACACATATATATATACAGATTCACCAACCTTTGCTCCCTAAGAGTTTACACACATCTATCAGTACAATATATATATCATCAAAAACACTTCTTGCCCTGGCCTGTTTGGTTCAGTAGTTAAAGCATTAGCCTGCAGACCGAGGGTCTCGGGTTTGATTCCTGGTTAAGGACACATATGTGGGTTGCAGGTTCGATCCCCAGTCTGCATCAGGAAACATGCAGAAGGCAATCAATCGATGTCTCATCAATGTTTCTCTCTCTCTCCCTCTTTTCCTCCCTCTCTTAAAAAAATAAATCAATGGAAAAATATCCTCAGGTGAGGATTCACAAAACAAACAAACAAAAAACAATACCACTTCTCTTGTCCACCACACACAATAAGTAAATGCAGTTATCCAGTATCATTAGAGGATGGGTTCCAGGACTCCCAGGGCCACCAAAATTCGTGGATACTCAAATCTCTTACATAAAATGGCACAGCATTTACATATAATCTCTACTGGCAGAGATTATATGTAAGGGTATGCCTACACATCACTTCATTTGGGTGGACTCAACATAGTGCTGGATGAGTGTCAAACTCAATTTTGCTGCTTTCGGGAATTTTCTGGGACTTTTGTTTTTTGCTAATATTTCTATCTGCAGGTGGCTGAACCTGCAGATTTGAAATCGGAGGCTATGGAGGGCTGACTGTACTGTGCACAGGCTCAATGACCCAAGCTAAGGTGGAAGCACAGACACTGTGGAGGAGCCAAGTCTTTTGAAGTTAAACAGCCATGGGATTCTAAGGGAATGTCTGATAGCAATGCCTGGGGCAAGGAAGTGTTCCATTTAAAAACAAGGGCTCAGTCCTCACTGAATGCAAGTAAAGGGAGGGAAAACTGGACTTCACTTGTTTGCAGGCAGGAGCTTCCCCACCCAATTTCAGTTCTCTAGAATAATTTTGAAACATTTCATTTTCAAACTCTTAGTCTTAAAAATTAATAACACCAAAATAACAAGACAGAAAGGTTCATAAAGATTACTCACTCTTTTCACTCTCTCTCCAATTCTTAGACTCCGCTAAATCACCTGAGTGCATAGCAGACATAATCTTCTGAGCAACACTGGAAAGTGGTATCTGACAGAGATCAAAGCCTACAAATGCCTCATACTTTTCCATTTTCATAAGTTCCTAAACATAAGATAAACAAAACACCTATATATCAATTTTGAATCTTCAAAATAAGAAACAAGAAATCTGAAATGTACTGAGACTTTCATAAAAAATTTTATATTAAAAACCACAATAAATAGGTATCAATTTTCCCTTTTACACATAGGATCGTAAGAATAAAGCAATGGTTAGAGGCTCCTTTGGGGGTATTATGATATATAAGTAACAAAGAACATATTTTCTAGTTAACCAATTGTAAAGCAATTGACTCAAATACTTCCTAGTTTATTATAATCTTCACATATACAAGACCATTATTTCTAACTGAATGGCATGATTTGACAAACCACCTGACATCCTTTCACTCGATCTGCTCAGCTATATATACTGGGCCCTTTGGGCTGAGATCATGAAGGTCTGGAAGCCACAGCACCAATCACCAAATAGCTGGTTGGTCATCTAACATATTTGGCACTAAACAGAATTTATTTCATTAACCAGGAAACAGGAGACATATTTTCCCACATTGCTGCAGAAAATTTTTCATTATCTAGTCCAAGGTAGAATCGGGGGTGGCGGGGGGGGGGGGGGGGGGGAGGGGAGAGGAGGGCTTCTTACCAACAAGCACATTTAAGATTTACTTCATAAATTTTAAATAATGTACAAATGCAGTAATTGGCAGAAAATTTTTGTTCAATGCATTATAGAAATTATCAGGGCTCATCTGTCACCTATGCATATCCATTTTCTGATAGTTATGGTTGAAAAATTCCATAAAGATCACATTCTAGGTTTTTAGATATCAAGGGCAGGTCATTCTTGAAAGTAATACCTGTATCTTTCTATAAAACTTACATGGCATATAAGAGAGGTCATGTATAAATCAGGCATTAAAGCAGCATTTGATGTAATAACTGATGTTACTTCAAATTATTTCATACCAACTCTTAAAATTAACTTCTATTTGTTCAAATAGACTTGAATCCAGACTATTACAGTGGAACATTTTTTTCACACCAAAGAAACTAAGCTGAAACTGGTTCGGCTCAGCAGATAGAGCGTCAGCCTGCGGACTCAAAGGTTCCAGGTTCAATTCCGGTCAAGGGCATGTACCTTTGGGGCATATCCTCAGTACGGGGTGTGCAGGAGGCAGCTAATCGATGTTTCTCTCTCATCGATGTTTCTAGCTCTCTATCCGTCTCCCTCTCTCTGTAAAAAGATTAATTTTTTAAAAAATAATTAAAATAGCATTATGCATCTGTCCTAGTGGGTGTGGCTCAGTGGTTAAAGGGGCAAGGGGAAGCTCAGGTTTGATTCCTGATCAAGAGCATGTTCCTGGGTTGCAGGTCCAATCCCTGCCGCCAGTAGTGGCGTGTGGGAGGCAACCAATCAATGTGTCTCTGTCACATCATTTCTCCCTCTCTCCCCACCTCCTTTCACTCTCTCTAGGATCAATGAAAAAAATATTGATCCTTGGGTGAGGATTGTTTTTAAAAAGCATCATACATCCTTTGAGCAAGCACTTCTAAGAAATTTTGAAATTCCATTTGAAAGTCATTCATGTGTACCAAGTCACACTGAAGTTAAAGTAGCACTGAAATGTCTTGCAGAAATTCTGAGGCCCCAGGACCCTGTCTGTAAAATGAACAATGAGCCAAGGAGACTTGACATTTGCTGTGGTCTAAGTAAGAGCATTAAGACTCAAAGTCTATAGAGGAAAATGATGAGGGAATAGTCAGAGTGGCAGAATTTTAGTTTAGTCAAATACAGACTTCTCTATCCATATATAAAGCTTACAGCTTTAACAATGCTGGTTCAAAGTTCTACAAAATTTAAAAACACTTAACAGCAGAATATTTCTATTTCTTAAAAAAATTAGTAAAGGAGAGATAAAACTATTTAAAAAAAAAAAAAAACAGAACCCTATACACACACTTTCCTTTACAGTACATACATTTTCACTTAAGGGAAGAATTGAATGGCTTCTCTTTGGCACATCTGAATTGCCAGCGTGACTACGCTTACACTTTGAGGCTATTAAGTAAAGTAAGGGCGACTTGGACATAAGCACTGTAATAGCTGATCCAATAACCAAGACAGTTACATGACTAACAGGCAGGTAGCACACAGTGTCGACGTGCTGGATAAAAGGATGATTCACGTTAGACTAGACAGAGCAGGTGTGCATGAAATTTTATGAACTAGTCTAACTGACATAGCTCAGTGGTTAAGCACTGACCTATGAACCAGGAGGTCATGGTTTGATTCCTAGTCAGGAGGTAGCTGATCAATGGTTCTCTCTTAATATACATATTTTGTTTTTAAAATAATAAAAAAAACTTATTAACTATTTCTGGAATTTCCCACATAGTATTTGCAGCCTATAATTGACTGTGGGTAATTGAAACAGCAGAAGCAAAGCGGCAGATAAGGGGACAGCTACTGTGATGTGTTTTCCTTATAAATACAAAGTTACCAGGACTAAGAGGCACTAAGCAAATGTTCAAGTCATAGTAAGCACTGGTACTCTGAACAAACATGTTATAGAAAGAAAAACAACAAACTGACATACTTTTTTAAAATATCTTTTTATTGATTTCAAAGAGGAAGGGAGAGGGAGAGACAGAAACATCAATGATGAGAATCATGGATCGGCTGCCCTCTGCACACCCTCCACTGGGGATCAAGCCCGCAACCAAGGCATGTGCCCTTGACCAGAATCGAACCTGTGACCAACCCTTCAATCCACAGGATGAGACTCTACCCACTGAGCCAAACCAGCCAGGGCGATATAATACTTGAATTCATTAAATGTTCCATTGACCTCAAACTTAAATTCTTAGTAGTGTTTATTAGCTATATTCTCCTAATATGTAAAACATCAAAACATAGCATATGTAGTAAAGCTTCAGTATGTAGTAATTTTCAATCTTTGAGATCAGCAGCCTTAATCTTTGATTGGTTTTCTAAATTCTCCACGATCTCTTTCAGATAATCTTCATCTTTACAAAAATATACATATAATTCTCTTTCCATTTGATGCAGTTTATTAGATGCCAAAATTTTTCTTTTTGTCTTTACATCAGCAAGAATATCAGTGAGAAGATGATTTAACTTGTTCAGTTGAGACTCAACTTGATGAAACTGCTCCGTTAACTCCTAAAAGGAAAATTAAAATGCTTTTAATGCAAAAGCACTATTTGCAACACCATAAATTTAAAATGCAACTTATATGGAAAAAATGATGTAATCATTCCCACCATTTTAACAATAAATGACCCTCAATTAAAAATCCATAGTTTTAATCTAACTTTTACGTAAAATCAATTTTAGCAGCTCCTAATAGCAATTTTAAGTGATTCAAAGCAAACTCTTCTTCCCTGAAGAGTATCTGTTATATAAAAACTGTTCTGTATACTCACACTTTCAACAAATACTAGTATTACTGAATGCATACATGTACCAGGTACTGTTTTAACTCTATGGATTGTAAGAAAGAACACCATCTCCTTCATGGAGCTTACATTCTGATTAATCAAACCTTGTTTTAACCTAATCTCTATTTATTCTAGACATTAAGAGAAACTGAGAAAGCCTTGAAATAAAGAATACCAATGAAAAAGAATTACCTCAACAAAAATCTTCATTTTCCCTTTTCACCCAAATTGTTGAAGATAAAACTATACAATATTCTACAATCCTTCTCACTTCCTAACATTAAAAGCAGCTTATTACCAAGTTTCCATGGCGGTCTAACCAAGTATTAACAGCCAGTATTCCTTACCAAAGAGGTTCTCAGAAAACCTGTAGCTCTACCTCCATCATAACCTTCCACAGGTTCCCAGCATGGTTATAACCTGGGGTACTTGTTATGAATACAGATTCCTATACCTCACTTCACTCTAAATTACTCAAACTCTGGCCCTGGCTGGTTTTGCTCAGTAGTTAAGAGCGTCAGCCCACAGATGAAGAATTACCAGTTCACCGGATTAGATTCCGGTCAAGGGCATGTACCTTGGTTGCGGGCATATCCCCAGTAAGGGGGTGTGCAAGAGGCAGTGATCAATGACTCTCTCTCATCGATGTTTCTAACTCTCTATCCCTCTCTCTTTCTCTCTGTAAAAAATCAATAAAAATATATTTAGCCGAGACCGGTTTGGCTCAGTGGATTGAGCGTTGGCCTGCGGGCTGAAAGGTCCCAGGTTCGATTCCGGTCAAGGGCATGTACCTTGGTTGCGGCACATCCCCAATAGGGGGTGTGCAAGAGGCAGCTGGTCGGTGATTCTCTCTCATCGATGTTTCTAACTCTCTGTCCCTCTCTCTTCCCCTCTGTAAAAAATCAATAAAAAATATATATCTTTTAAAAAAATAAAATAAATAAATAAAAATAAAAATATATTAAAAAAAAAAAAAAAAAGAAAAAAGATTTACCGGTTCAATTCCTGGCCAAGGGCACATACCTTGGTTGCAGGTACCTGGCCCCAGTCTAGGCAAGAGCGGAGGCAACCAAATGATGAGTCTCTCTCACATCAAAGTTTCTCTCTTTCTCTCTCTCTCCCCTCCCCACTCTTCTCTCTGTCACTCTAAAAATCAATGGAAAAATATCCTCAGATGAGGATTTTTAAGAAAAAAAAAAAAAAAAAAAAAAAAAAAAGTAAATTACTCAAACTCTGCAACAGGACCAGGAAGCTGTCTTTCAACAGGCTCCCTGGTAATTCTAATAATAACCTGTTAGCCAGTTGTATTATCTTCTTTGGAGAAATATTCCTTGAAGTCATTAGCCTACTTTTTAATCTGACTATTATTTTTGTTTTTTTGATATCATCAACATTCTTAATGTTTATTGTGGAAAAATATAGACTACAACTTTGAGTCAAAAAATAACATACAAGGCCCTGGCCAGTTGCACAGTGGTTAGAGCAACAGCCCTTGGGTTCAATTCCGCAGGTTCCTCAGCACCAGTGCTGGTGGAAAGCAGCTAATGGGTGTCTCTCTCAGGTGGATGTTTCTCCCTCTTTCCCCCTCCCTCTCCTTCCTCCCTTCCACTCTCTATAGAAATGAATGGGAAAAAATATATTCTAATAAGGAATAAAAAAACAACCATACAACATGGAATAATTGGACTAAATGTGGAGCTTTAGAAATACCATATTTAGAAATACCATATTGGCTATTTCCCCCCTTTTAATGTATATTTAAAATATGATAAAAATTTAACTACACCTAAAAGATATAAGTATAAAATAAAAAATCTAAGTAAAAATGTATTGTGTCAGTTTAATAGAAAGTTTTTTTCTTAACAATTCATAAATTGATAGTATACCATATGATCAATGGTTGACATTTAAATTATACTGGTGGCTTTAAAAAGCAAAATGGCAGTATCAAAGGGGGAAAAAAAGTACACATTCAAGAAAAAAAATAATCCTACTTCCAAGAATTCATCCAAATGAAAGTATTCAACAACAAAAGGCTATATATATGATCTCATTCAAGACCAAACAAGAAAAAGACTATCACAGTATCTAGCAATGGTGAATTGGTTATAGAAATTATGACACAATAATTAAATCAACAGAGTACTGTAACATCAAAAATTAAGAAAATTATTTAAACTTGTGCTATGGACATATCCAAAACTGTGTAAAGAACACTGGTAAGTTTACTCAGTAGTAGGTTTTCTTCAAGTAACATATACTCATACTTTACTTGAGTACCTGACAAAACCAAAAAAAATAAATAAATAAATTGGAGATCCAAGATGACAGTAGAATAGGTAGAAGTTATACTTACCTCTCCTCCCAGGACGAAACTGCAATTACAACTAAATTATAAAACAATCAAACTGAATAAGCAACTACATCAAATTAAAAAGCTTTTGTGGCCCTAGCCAGTTGCTCATTAGTCAGCCCACAGACCAAAGGATTGAGGGTTTCAATTCCTGGTCAGGGCACATACATTTTTCAATGTTTCTCTCTCCAAAAAATAATAAATTAATTAAAGCATATCCTTGGGTGAGAATTAAAAAACGAACAAAAAAAGTTACTGAATAATGCATATAAAATAATACTATCTATATAAAGCTCAAAACATATAATATAGTCTGGGAATATATATCTAATAAAACTGCAAATAAAAGTGAGCATAGAGAGGAGAACAGCAGGAGGAGCATTATATCACTAAGTATACACAGTATTTTAAAAATATAGCTCTGATCCTGTATTTGCTAAGGCAGGTGAAAAAATACAGGGGTGGTTTTATAATTGCTATTTTAATTCTTAGCATTAGTATTACATTTTCTTGTATATCTGAAATACTTCATAAATTTAAGGATTTTGTGTACACTATAAAAACTATCTGAAAAAAATGTATCTACATGTAACTCTGCATTAGGGCAATAGGATTTGGGGTAATATTTTCCTCATATGAACATTTTCTTTAGTAACCTTTTACGATGAACAATATTTTTAAACCATTTTTAAATACATGTGTGGCAAGCACCCACCTGATCACTAAGCAAAGGCTGGTTTCCTCCTTGATATAAAAGATCACAAAGCGTGTCTACATCATTATTCAGTTTGGAAAGAAAGAAAGAATGTTCTTGAGCAGATATTGCCAATTGGTCTTGTACTAAAGAAACATCCTGTTTTAATTTCTCAGCCACTTCCTCCAGGTTTTCATGGGTTATAAACAATTCTTTCTTCTTATTCTCTCCTTCTAAAAGCTGATGAAGCCTAAAATGTGAAAATAAAAATTAGAGAAAGAAACCCTAAAGTCAGTATAGTTTTCAAAATTACAATCCACTGTATGGGGGCGTCTTTTGGGATAGCTAACAACTTTAAAAAAATATTAATCTGGCCAAAACCGGTTTGGCTCAGTGGATAGAGCGTCAGCCTGCAGACTGAAAGGTCCCAGGTTCGATTCCGGTCAAGGACATGTACCTTGGTTGCGGGCACATCCCCAGTAGGGGGTGTGCAAGAGGCAGTTTCTCTCGCATCGATGTTTCTAACTATCCCTCTCTCTTCCTCTCTGTAAAAAATCAATAATATATATATATATATATATATATATATATATATATATATATATATATAATAAATCTGCCTGCTGTTAAACCAAGCAACTGAAAACATTCCAACTACTATCTTGCTGAGCCAGCGTGGCTCAGTGGCTGAGCATCAACCGATGAGCCAGGAAGTCACTGTTCCATTCCCAGTTCTTAGTCAGGACACAGGCCCTAGCTGCGGAGTGGGGGAGAGAGGGTTCAGCAGTAGGGGGCATAAAGGAGGCAGCCAATCAATGTTCCTTTAGCATGGGGGTTTCTCTCTCTCTCTCTCCCTTGCCCTTACTCTCTAATAAAACATTTTTTAAGTAAAATATTTTAAAAGTAAACAACAAAGAGTTACAGAAACTGTAATAGCCAACTTTGCTATTTCAATCTTGATAACCCAGGAAGCCACTTTACTACTTCAAACATTAATGGCAGGAAAATCCTACTGGGCAAATGGAAAGCTGAGAGACAGCATTTCATACCTGATAAAAAGGATCTGCTCTTTTCCTTATACACACACACACTCGTAAGGCCAGTGCATGAAATTCATGCAGGGGTGGATGAAAGGGGGAGTCCCTAAGCCCAGCCTG